TGCGTAGCTGGAGGCACGCTGGCAAAAGGTTCTAGATACCGATAGGGATTGCTTTCAAGACTAACTCTATGTCAAATTGGCTGTATAACTTTTTTCTCTAATAGATCAGAAACGGCAACGACTGTTTCGGTTTCGTTGTATATGGATATTCAGAAAGGAGACGTATTGAAATACGTCTTCTAACTACGGCTGAGTTAGCTACGTTCACTTTCACAAAAATTCTTTGATAAAGCATGCACTCCTTACTTCTAGGTTCAATTACATGAATGAATTTAGGTGGTAATCAAGGAACAAAAAAAAACAATCTATGATTACCACATATTGCATTCCTCAGACAACCACCTTCGTGGGAAATCCTTCATAAATGAGGCAGATTTGCGACATCCACAGACTTCCTTGCATCCAAGACATCTGATTTCCACTGTCAGGGCATTGCCTAGCTAGAGGCACTTTGGCAGAAGGTTCTACATGGCGATGAGGATGACTTTGAAGACTAACGCTATGTCAAATTGGTTGTACACCTTTTTTTCTAATAAATAAGTACGGCATGTTAATGGTTACTATTCCAGAAGCGACCATGCAAGCCGAGCTAGGGCACACCTTCCACCATATTTCACAGATGATCTTGTATGCTTTGAATCATAAGCAGATCCTTTCTTTCTACACACGTTAGCCTTTTGATCACTTCGGTAGAGGTTAATTTTGGTCTCATCAGTTCATAAAACCTTCTTCCAGAACTTATACCGGTTATCTCTGCAAATTCAAATTCTTACTGCTGATGTGTGCTTTGCATTTTTGTGGTATGGTTTCTATATTTCAGATCTCGAAGTCTTCTTTGAACTGTAGAGGTTGCTGATAATGTCACTGGCTCTTGTTTAGGGTTTTTTCCTCTCAGCTCTCACAATATTTCTGTCTTCAACTATTGTTTTCCTTGGCTGATATGTTCTATTTGTGTTGCTCAGTACACCAGTAGCTTCTTTCCTTTTACGGGCATTCCAAATTTTGGGGGTTGGACATGCCCAATGTTTATCCAGTAGCTCTAATTGATCTTCCTTCTTTTCTCAACATCAAAATGACTTGCTTTTCTCCCATAGACAGCTCTCTCGTCTTCATGTTGGTTTATCCTTTTAAACAAGAAATTGTCTTTACAGGTGAAACCCGAGACTAAAACCAAGAGTAGTCATTCAGATTTATTTTATGTTTAAACTAAAAGGCAACATCTGGGCAAGAAGAAACACCTGTCAGTCACGTATTCCGGGAAATTATTCATTTTTAGAGAAAAATTCACCCACGACATCATTTCTCCAACTACCACTTTGATAAAATATTAAAATAAAACTCTTCGTCCCGAAATGCGGACAATCTAAGAGACGGAAGAAAATTCTTGAGTATTAGTAATATTGGCAGTAAATTAGGCCATAACGAGCCATTCTTATACACTCTACGGAGGCACGATAATGGTGAGCGGCTCGGATTGAGGAAATCGAATAGTCAAGTTCGAATTCCAGTCAAGTTCATTACATTTGCTTATGTGCTAATTCCCTTGGGAAAGGTGTGGGACCAAGTTAAAAATTGTATAACAATACATTAGATTTAATTAATATCACTAAACCCTCAATTAATTCATTCTTGCGCAAAACATAGTCTCAAATTTGAATTTCCATATTCACATTTATTAACCAATCAGCGACCTTATTTCAAACGCTCGTAAGGCTCAGAAATTTCAGACGACTATGTTTGTTGTCCGCCACAAAATTCACTCCAGAAAATTATCAAGAATATTTCCTTCCTAAAAATAGATATTTAAAAATTGGTTAAAATATTTATTAACCAATAAACTTCTGAGATTAGTAAATCTAACTTTTAGATCCCTGGAGCCTATTTTTTCCGTTATACATACGATTGCATAAGTTCACAGAATATTCAGTTTACAGTTTTTTCGGCAAACCTTTGACTAATATTTTAGAGAGCTGATTACTCAAAACTTTCGTATAATTAATTTCTCAAACTTTCACGCATTTTATCGAGTAACTTACTGCAAAAGCCTATCGATTTTTAAAGTAAATTAAGCAACACAAAAACAAACATACGAACGGAGTTTTTGTAAACAATATGTTAGTAAGTTATAACACAGCTTCGCCTACTGATATCCTGACTACTAGAAAATTGCACGCATTCATAAAACAACGTACATACGTTACACTCTCCTTATGTAGACACATTCTGTTTCTTCTATCATACCAAAGCAATTTATTCTTTGGTGGTGTAAAGAACAAAAACAAAAATATTTTTGTGAAACTTTGTTTCGCAAGGACTTTTGTAATTTGTTTCTTTCAACCTGAAAGAAAACAAATACTCAATAGTAAAATTTATTTAAAATAAATAATCTATGTTTGAAGATCATTTTTTCTCTTTTAGCGCACTTATTCCTTTACAAAGGTATGAATCCTTCTCTTCTTCCCCCCCCCTCAGCTATGGTAAAAAAAAGGTCAGGCTGGATTTTATAGCCTTGGGTAGCAAGCAGTCTAGACGAAAGAAAACCTGCATTCAAACCAGATCGTACTGTCCTAAAAGTGTGTATACATGCGACTGGGGACCGGTTGTGAATCCAAATTCGAACTATTAGCATGTCATCGTGTGCAGTGTTTAAAAAGAGGCCAATATCCTAGGGGATCTAAGTAACTTATACCCTCTATAAATTGTAATCTTCAATTAAAACGGCTTATATAAATGTATCTGAAATATATGCATTCGTTTTTTTTTTAAACCATCATGATTCTAACAAGAAATCGATTGAAACTTACCAACCTGGGGAATACGATAAAAAACAAACAGGTTGGCGTACCTTGTTCCATGTCTTACCCATTGTTTATTCCAAAAGCTAAGCAGAGTATTAAGAGGCAGAAAAACTTCGTTAGAAAGAAAGAAAAGGCTGCTTAACTGTTACGCGATATCTGTCCTCCTGTATGAAGACGAATAGACTTGAGGCAGCAGAAATATGGTTCTACAGAAAGATAATGACGATAACATGGACAGAATATGTGAGCAACGATGAGACTTTGGAGAAAATGGAAACAATAAGAAAAATTATACTTAACATCAGGAAGGGGCAAATGAAATTTCTGGGGCACATAATGAGGAAAGAGGACTTGGAAAATCTGATACTCACAGGACAGATAGAAGGAAAGAGGGTCAGAGGAAAGCATCGCGTAACATTCTTGTTGGGCGTGAGTGAATGGATTGTAAAACAGGGTTTGGGAGAAATAACAAAAAGACAAAACTTATTATGAGCTACAAGAAGATGTGGAGGGTCATAATCGCCTACGCCCTGAAGGGATGTGGCACATAAAAGAAGATCAATATTCGTAAGATGGAGTCGTCTAAATATATCTGCACGAAAGGACGATTGAAAGGACAAAGGAACTTTCTGTTAACCCGAGCGTGAAGAATATCCAGTCAGATGTTATTAATGCTGGAAGAGTTGTAGAACATTGAACCTATAATTATTTCATGGACGGGTTGCACGAAAACAAAATCCAATACTGAAAAAAAAAATACAGAAATGTTGATTTTTTTTTCTAGTAACGGCATCGGAAAACTGCACACGCAGTCAAACAAAAAGCGCAAAATATGAGACTCTTAAATTTACAATAGTTGTACACAAACTGCAAAATTCCATTTTGGCTCCGTCAGATTCCTGATTGTTCTCCAAATCGAAAGAAACCTTGAAACGTCATTATCCTATCTAGACTAAATCTTATTTTATAGGATTGGAGACCTTACTGATCAATTACTTGTAATTTTGAAGAGAAATAAATTCACATACCTTTAATATTATTTATCTGATATCTATCTATCTGATTTAAATTTGTTTTGTGGGGTCCTTACTTATCAATCAATACGCATAATTTTAGAGAGAAATAAAGTTACTTCATTTTGATACAAGATTTAATATGTCCATTTGTTTCAAGAATTTTTATGGGACTGAAGATCTTACTTTTTGTACCTTGCCACAGTGCCGTCTGGAATAATCTTTTCGGTGGGAATTATTGAATTTATAAAGTAAGTGTGGTGGTTCAAATAAACGTTCAACTGGGAATCTCTATAAAAGGCAGGATGTGTGTGGGTATGCAACGAATGCACGGCCGCAATTTTCGACGGATTTGCACCAAAATTTACATGCACATGCTCTAAGTTAGCGGGAAGACCAAGACTTACTTTGCATTTCCCAACTCCCATCGATAGTGGAAATAATATATTTTTTCATGCTTCTACGACAGTTTTCATGTAGTTTGCGGCTATTTTCTACTGGCCAGAGTGAGAGCTTATAGCTGGCTGACACGAATAGGCAGGAAGATTCTATTGGCCAGCTGAAGAGCCAACAGCTGACTAACACGAATGTTAACTAGCATGCAAAAAAAAATCGATAGCTGCATTCGTCACAAGTGGGAAAAATTTAAATCTGCATGGCACTTTACTCCAATTGGCTCATTCGCTTGCTTAAACTAAACGTTGATTCTGATTCCGCAGAACTGGTTTGGGTGTGAAAAATATTTGTTGTTAACATTCTTTTTTCATTCGGTTTTCCCAGTTACGAGTCCTTTTTAAAAGCTGATCGTTTTGTGTTCATTTTGTTTAGTTTTTTTTTTCGTAACAGATTTAATGTTTAGTATAGAGCTTAGAAAAAATCGCAATGTGAGATAGGCAAGAAGTAAGGCATGTAGCAAGGAAGGGTAAAAATATTTTAAGTCAAGTGATAGCGATTGCTGTATGAGTCGTACGATTTTTGAATCAAGCACGGGCAACGCCGGGCCATGCTGCTAGTTTTCATATAAGCCTTGTAAATTGAAGTAAAATAATCCTGTTGAGGAAATTATTCGAACAATCATAATACCGTCCAAAATAATCACCCTGCTGGAAGTGGAGGAATTGGATGAAATAATTGTATTCCATGCTATTCTCAGCATTCTTCTGTAAAGCCATATTGCCACTAAGCTTAAGACCATATTACGTTGAAACACCGGTTCCTGTATGATCACCGAAGTTAAGCAACGTCGAGAATGGCCAGTACCTGGATGGGTGACCGCTTGGGAATACTAGTTGCTGTAAACTTGGATGTGTGGGTGGTGTAATTGTCAATAGCTCGTAATTTTTAATCAGAGAGCCAAGATCAAAATTCCGCTGAATTCGTTATATTCAATTATACGCAAATATCCTTGATAAAAGTCTGAATGCATCACTTCTTCTCCCCTGCTATGGGTTAATTAGTAATACGTGTATCACTAAACTATTATTACCTCAAAAAAATAAATTCTCACAATTTAAAAAAAAAGGTTTGAAATAACATGCAAGTTGCATAAGTTGTCAAAAACCAATCAATCAATCTGTTGCCTCAAGTCCCTTCATGACTAACTGACCAATTTCTAGCAATAAAACTTTACCTATTTGTTACAAAAAAGCTTTCCCAAAGACAAGATGAATTCATTTATGCAACATTAACTGAGGGCTTGGAAAATGTGATACACACAGGAACGATTGGAGCCAAGAAATATAGAGGAAAAAAACGCGTAATCTACCAAACAAGCTTGAGTAAATGGATGGCGGAACAAGGTTTAGGAGAGATAACAATAAGAAAAATTATTAAGCACTACAATGGATAGGAAATTGTGGAGAGCCATGATCACCAGGGTCCTGAAGGGACATGAAACATAGAAGAAGAAGAAGAAGAAGAAGAAGAAGAAGAAGAAGAAGAACCGAAGATGACAGGAATATCTTCATATCCAACAAATCACTTGTAGAAATGCAATATTTAAAGTAGAAATAAAATCTAGCCAAATGGAATTGGATTCAAACGCATGCGCAAAATAAATGTCCGAATGCATTAAAAGCAAATGTGCAACGGCAAATTCTATCTTCCATTTTTAGAACTTTATTCTTCCTTATTATCAATAGACATCCAATGATAGGGTCGGTGTCGGTGTCAAAAGAATTCCACAAAAATAACTGCAAAAGAATTTTCCGTGATTCAATATACAGGCTTGAAATACGTTCTATATCAAAATTGAATCCGAAAATTGGGAAATGTCACGCGATTTCGGTTTTTCTATCTCTAACTGTCCATTAAATAATAATCAGTTTCTTTTATTCTCCCGCCCTTTTTTTTTTCACGTACACTTGGGAAAGGTATGAATCCATTTCTTTCCAACCAGCCCAACAGCTATGGGTTGAATAACAGGACATTATTGTGTCCTACAGCCTTGGTTGGCAACCAGTCTACCGTAGAAAATAACGGCAACCTACTGTGGGAAAATCTTCTTCCTAGTCTGTCATAAATCAAAAGAGACATGATCGCCCAAGCGTATATCACGTGATGACACTTAACTGAAAGAGTCAGTAGTTATTTAGTTAAGTTGTGAAGAGTCATGATCGCACGTATTACTACGCCTGTTTCTCACATTTTGACTCGTTTCGGAACTGAGTTTCATTTCCCTCTCATTCAAGTCCGCTTAATTAAAATTTAACAATAAAAAGAAGTCTATTTTAATTAAGCATTTAATATAAAAAAAAAAGATTGTTATTGGAAAAAAAGTTTGCAATTTACTTGATTTAGCGAAGTGTGTTTAAAATCCAGCAAGGATCGAACTCGTTACTCCATATTAATAGCCAATTACATCAGATAGCTAACAATTAACTCAAATGAAAAAGCCCGTTGCTAAATGTTGTTATTTACTACACTTAACATAATCACAAGGTTAAAAGTTTGAAGCACCTAGTGATGATCGAACTCACTACTCAGCAGTCTGGAGCAAGCAGATGCGCTCCATAAACATTTCCTCGACACGAGGTAAAAAGCTAGCAACAGTTTCTGTCATCATAAAAAGATTGTTATACTAAAATTCACTCAATACAAAGTTTGATTTTGTTCCTTTACAGATACACCTTAACAGAAAATAATTTACTTACTTACTTACGCACACGCACATATATATATATATATATATATATATATATATATATATATATATATATATATATATATATATATATATATATATATATATATATATACTACAATTCAAAAGTTTGAGGCCACCGCTGGTAATTTTTAAATTAAGTTGTTTTGTATCGTAAATAAGAGAAAATTATTATACATGGTTAAAAAAAGTGAGACATAATTTTTTATTAGAAATATTATTATGACAAGATGAAAAGCATTTCATGATTAAAGTTCGCTCACGGCGAAATATCCTCCTTTAGCCTTGATTACTGCAGCACAAATTTTTGGCATTCGTTGCAAAAGTTTCTCAAAGCATAAGTTTGATAACTAATTCCATTCTTTTTCCAATGACTGTAAGAGCACTTTTTCATTTATTTCTTATTCTTCTGCCGCGTGTATGCCAAACTTTTGAACTTATATATATATATATATATATATATATATATATATATATATATATATATATATATATATATATATATTATATTTATTACGTATATGAGAGTGCGCTATTCTAAATACAGGGTGTTCCAAAAGTCTTAAATATTTCGAAAGCTATTAAGTATATAAAACACGCCTGACATATTCTGAAAGAATTTAATCTCAAGTTTTGCATAGAATGTTCAAAGATGTTCAGTGTAAGTCGCACAACACACATCAAATCCGTCATCTTTCAACTTCTCTTGCATTGCAATGCAAAAGTCACGACGAGCTGTTTTATCAGTGTCCTGCAACTGTTGGGTTAACTGTAGATTGTAAAGTGTCATGGGCAATCGTCTTTTTAATACAAGCCAAACAGTTGTTGTGGGAAACTGAAATTCCTTACTGGCTCTTCTGAACGATTTACGAGGGCTCTGCTCGAAAGCCGTTTGAACTTGCTCAATTGTATCATCTGAATTTAATGTCAAGTTTTGCATAGAATGTTCAAAGATGTTCAGTGTGAGTCGCACGGCACACATCAAATCCGTCATGGATTTACCATTCCATCTCAATATGGACTTCCTTTCTGGTGCCTCTTTTCGGAATTTTGTGTGAAATGCACGTTGAACAAGTGTCCATGATTCAGTTTTTGCAACTTCAAGGACGCAAAAAGCCTTTTCTAATTGAGTGGCCGCCATTACTGGATCTGGAAAAATATGAAAATGATCATTAGCATTACAAAAAAATTAATGAATTTAGCTTTAAAATGGTACCAGTTTCATCTTACTACCATTCATAGTTCAGCAGATATGTGGACTTGGAATGTGCCAAAGACTTCTGGAACACACTGTACTTTTAAAAAAATAATTTGCTTACGCATTTCATTTGAAAAAGGTGAAAAACACGATAGATCTTGGAAGCGTCTAAAATAAACTAGCCCCCATTTTGAAAAATCGCTAATCAAGAAACAGACAGTTAATGGGGAACTAAATAAAAACTCTTATTTTTTTTTGTGTATTAATAATAGTGATACATAGACAGTTTTGCAAATGGGGACATTTGTGTAATCTGTGTAAAAGAAAAGGTTTATAACAATTTTCAGAACATCAAGTAAAACAAGTTAATTAAAGGGAAATGCGCATTATTTAAAATATGCTTCTTCTTCTATCTTTAATCAGGATGGGAGATGGGTGATGGCTCTCCGCAGTTTCCATTTTTGTTGCTTTTAGCCATGCTTGCTCCTTACTGTCCCCTATTTGTTCTTCCATAAAAGCTTTTTGAAAATCACCATTCGCTATTCTCATGTGGCTTTGGGTCTCTGTTCTACACTTTCCGTCGCCTCTTAATGAATATGCTACTTACATTTATTTTTACATTTATTCTACTTTGACTTCCTCGATTTGTAATTCAAAGTTTCAGATGTCCGTTTTGCTCGCAAGCAAGCATTCTGTCTTCTTAAAATTGATGGGTCCGTTTTTTGCTTGCTTTGTTAGAAAGACTGATTCTAACAGTTCTTTCAATTTCCTTTCTGAGTCTGCCATGAATATGTTATCATCTGCAGAGCGTGCGTTTTTAAGCCAAACCGCCGATAATAAATTCTTGTAATCACATCATCATCATCATCATCATCATCAGTTTCATGAGAAGGAGTGGTTGTAAGTTCGCAGCGCAGATGAGCAGCTGACCAATTCTCTTGATATTATCTAATTTGAAATCCAAAGAGGTACTCATTCACGCGTTGGGTATCTTGCGCAAACAAACCAAACGAGGCCCATCCCTCTTCAGGTCAAACCACAGCCGATATTCTTCGACTTGAAGGCTCGCCTTGGTCACGGACACGTGGCCGATGATTCGTTGACCTCAGTCTAGGATGTTCTCCGCCTAGCGACGTCGTAGTCAGTCATCATTTCTTTGTCCCAATCCTGGTGGAATCATTTAATTTACTAATCATTTAAATCACTCATTATATCACTGACAAACCGAAGTTTCTATCACAAATGTTTGATGCGGATTAAGTAAAGTGATTTTATCCAAGGACTTTATATTGTTCCTATTCATAACCTAAAATAATACTGTGGAGTAAATAGCAATGGTTAATTGTAATTGGCAGAAATGCCCAACAAACAGAATTGACAAAGTTTACAATAAACAGTGAGAAAAGAGAGAAAAGAACCGGGAAAACATAGTACCAAGCAAACAATATATGCAAGACAAGTGTCGACAAAGCAACGGAAATGAGGCAAAAAAATTCACAAACTAAGAATGGTGTTAACATAAAAGAGATGCAGACAGGTGATTGCAGCATTCTGACTTCAAGACAAGAACAAAAATATAGCAAATGAGACTGAGAAATGGCCAATCTTATTGGTTAGGAAGAAATCCCAGCATGCATCTGTATGTTTTGTCTATAAATTTGAGGAGGGGGATGTTTTTGCAGTCATTTTACAATGGATCGGAAACAACAACAGCCATTATCACCCTGCATTATGCCAATGTAAAATCAGGTGCTTGAACAATCAGAAATTAGATAATAGTTATAGTCTTTCCACAAGAGTCATTCAGAATTTGAACATTGTGGGAAATTTGACTACAAATAGTCATTTGTTTTAATATCTTTGTTTACATCATAATGGACTTAATTTTTGGACTCGGTATCGTAAAATTACCTAAGAGAAAGTAAAAGTTGTCTTGT